TTCAAGCATTTTTTTGATTGTTGGATGCCCATGATTGAGTCTAAATTGATGGGTGGTGCTATGGGGTTTATTTTATCTATAATTTCAGTCCTTTTTTGTAGAAACCCTGCCTCCCCCATTTTATCTGTTGCGGAAGAGTCAATGTCTAAGTAGAGATTTTGATGAATTCTGGTTTACATGGCTACGTGCATTACATTTAACTGTTAATGCGATACGGCAGTCTATATCCAGTCTAGAATTTCTTTCTTAATGGATAGCTTTTGCTGATGTTGTGGGTTGTGTTATGAGACAATTTTATCAATGCCGTGCGTTCTTTTCTCAATCTGATTGCAGGTCATGCAAGTTCGGCATAAAATGCAGCTACGCAGGAGCAAGTGTACAGGATGGCTCAGGACCTGCTACAATAGATGTTGTGGCCGACATCAAGAGTGAACGGGTATGAGCTGGCCTGTTCCTTGTTGTTACACAAATATTACAACATCAATCACCTAAGCATCTTTTCTGCCACTTGTAAGGATAGATTTCTCACCAACGTGTTTTTCGTAGTAGGTTGTTGTCTTAGGAGGCAATGGTTTTGTTGGTTCTGCAATTTGCAAGGCTGCAGTATCCAAGGGTGTAGAAGTTATAAGCCTGAGCAGGTGGGAGGAATAATTAAGATGATTTGGTGCACATTTTATGCTTTAAACAAGTAATTAATATTTTAAGGTTGTCTTGTCTTGGGCTTGAAATAGTTGATAGTAGCATTCCATTTCCCACTTTCTCTTTATCAAAATTATGTTAAATATAAAATTTTGGTCAATTCTCAGGTCAGGACGTCCTACTTACTCAGCATCATGGGTGGATCAGGTTAATTGGATATCAGGCATGCTCTCTTCTTACTTTTTGGCATCTTAGTTTCATACAAAGGTTGAGAAGCAGAAACTTCAATTATTATTATTGCCATTTTTTGACCGATGAGAAGCAGAAACTTCTTGAAGGCTATAAATGCATAATGCATGAGTAGAAGTCATTGTAGTTGATGATAAATTAGAAAAGATTCTTAAGGTTAGAAAACACAACTTACCATGGCACTAGGACAAACACAACTTTTCATGTATAGTATGGGCTTGTAGCTGGAACAATTCAATCTCAAATCTAGAGCTTTACAGACCTTGTTTTAGTTCACATATCATCCTTTCTCTTACAATACAGATTTTAAATAAATGTCATGCAGGAGATGTTTTCTATGCAAACTGGGATGAAGTACTTGTTGGGGCTACTGCAGTGGTTTCTACCCTTGGTGGCTTTGGAAGTGAGGAACAGATGCAAAGGATCAATGGTGAGGCCAATGTTGTGGCTGTGAATGCTGCAAAGGATTTTGGTAAGCATTGCTCATCATCAAGTTGCTGGAGTTGATTTTTATTCTATTTTATCTTGGTTGTCAAGTATAATCTTTTCAACAGAATCCTTTTTCTACTTTTTAATACTTTCTTGCTTATTGTAACATCACCTCTTTTTTATTTTGGCAGGGATTCCCAAGTTTATCTTAATCTCAGTGCATGACTACAACCTACCATCATTTCTTCTGCAATCAGGATACTTCACAGGGAAGAGGAAAGCGGAGTCAGAGGTTCTCTCCAAGTATCCGAACTCTGGTAAGTAGTGGTGACAAACCTTTCTCTTCTTCGTCTTCGTCTATTTTTTGCCCCCTAAGGTGCTTGTTTTAAGTAATGATCTTAACCTTAGTTGCAAGACAATTTCTTTGACATTTGAAAGTCACTTCAGGATTAGCAAGTACCCTCACCCATAAAGCAAAATGCATTTTTGTTTGAGGATAAACATAGGAGAAGATAAAGTGAAAGCGTTTCAGGAGAAGAAAAGGTGCAGAAATTAGGCATCTCATAGCTGGTTGGAAACCAACTTAAGGCTACTTTTATGGTTTAGGAATTCATAATCAAATTGACTTTATATGGCTTTCCTTTTTCTCCTAATTCATACCCCAGGGTTCATCATGTTTTTTCTTTCTGCTAAGAAGTTAGATGGTATTCTCTATAAATTTCAGCCTTCCCTACTCTCTCTCTGCATCTTCTCATCTTTTACTTTCTCTTTGATTTTGGACAGGAGTTGTTCTAAGACCCGGTTTAATATATGGAAAGAGGAGAGTGGATGGGGTTGAGATTCCACTGGATTTGATTGGTGCACCACTTGAGAGAATTCTCCAAGCTGTTGAGAACTTCACCAAACCCTTAAGTTCTCTTCCAGCATCTGACCTGCTCCTGGCCTCCCCTGTGAACGTTGATGATGTTGCCTTTGCAGTCATAAATGCAGTAACAGATGATGATTTCTTTGGCATTTTCACGATTGACCAAATCAAGGAAGCTGCAGCTAAAGTGAAAGTTTGAATCACTTCCCCCTTTTCGACCAGCAGATACAATTCATAGTTTTCATCCACTTTCATGTCTGGCAAATATCAGCTGATGATTCAAAAATCTGTTGAACTCGAGTAATCCACATTGAGATACTTTCAATAATGGGATTGAACTTGGTCATAATTCATACTCCATTTAGCTCTAATTTATGTATGTTGTTGTTCCCCGCACAAGATCCAGGGGCACCACTGGAATGTCCAGGGTTCATATGTCCCAGCTGCCTCTCCCACCACCATTAACTATAAAATGATAAAAATAATTGTAGGAAGGGACCGAGGGAAAATAAAACGTTTTTATTCTTAAAATATTAAAAATAGTAATAAGAAAATTTAATTTTTTTAATGAATTAATTAAAAAAATTTATTAAAGATATTTAAATAATTTCTCTTTATTTTTACTTCTTCTTTTTTTGTAACTATTTCATTTTAAAAAAAAAATTGGTATTTTCACTCCCTTTTTCTTTTAACAAAAATTGTGAAATTTAGATAAGAAAAAGCAAAATCGTAAAAATCAAATATGAATGGACAAAATGACAATATTACCCGGACTAGTGAACACAAAGACCAGAGAGACCATAAAGACTGTCGAATCGAGGTCGTTCTGGTTCGAAGGCGACCAAATTGAAAGCAGAAGAAGAGCGAGAGATTAATAATGGCGAGATCTAGCGGCAAGGACGCTCAAGCGCTTTTTCAGTCCCTTTGCACTGCTTACGCTGCAACTCCTACCAATCTCAAGGTCTCTCTTCTTCTCTGTGTATTCAAAAACATAATTATCGAGGGAAATGATCCTAGTTTGTTTAATTTGGGGTTTATTGCGTGCAGATAATTGATCTCTATGTGGGTTTTGCAGTCCTAACTGCTCTGATTCAGGTACCATTGACTGCATATGATACATCTGCAAGATCTTTGTTTCTGTTGTCGACCTGGTTTTTCGATTTCATGCTATTAATTAGGCGATTGAAATTGGTTTATTATGTTTTAATGTCAATGATTTCCATTTCTGATGCCCTGTTTTTTGTTCTTCTCTTTGGTTATTTGATAGAGTTGGAGCTATTGAATTTTGGGACTAAATGGTTAAAATTGTGATGTTGATATTTTGTTTCTTTTTTAAGTTGTATTTTGGGATTTCTCACTTCTGCAAATTACAATTTCCTTTGGCTTCTTTAAAAGCATGCATTTCACTTTATAAGTGGAAGTAGGTGCATCTCCCATTCTAGTGACTGATTCCAGTGAGAAAGTGTTGAGTCTAGAAGAATCATTTTAGGAATAAATATAGGCATATTGCTAGAAGAATCTCAGTTGTGGTTTTAAGGGCCAATTATTAAATTTAAGATGGATTAATGAACTGGTGATTAGCAACAGAAACTTCTATGGTTCTGCAACAACATAGGGGCTGCCACTCTCTTGGTTGCTCGTGGGTGACAGGTCTTAGTTGACTACCCCCACAATGAAACTAATTTTGCTAATTAGATATATTGTGTTATCAGATCAGTGTATTGAGGAGGTTAGTAAGAGTTGGTGCACGTGTTGAATTGCTCACAAAAATATATTTTTTAAGTTTTTAATTTAATAATTTTACAATTTAAGCACATATTAAAGATCCCATTCATTCAAGCACCAATTGAATTGTTTGATTATGGTTGGTTATCTTTTGATCTGGCTTCTGGCTCTGTCACTTCCTACTCCAAACACCTCAAAAGCCTTTCTCCCTCTCCCCCCTGTTGTTTGTATGGCTCTGGCACATTGTGATATAATTTCTAACTAGATACATGATATTTTCATTCAGTTGCATATATATTTCATGAAGTTGTGTATATAATTCCCTTTTCCCATTCTGATACATTTGTTATGTTGCTGGTGAACAGGTAGTTTACATGGCTCTTGTTGGATCATTTCCTTTCAACTCGTTTCTTTCAGGAGTGCTTTCTTGTGTGGGCACAGCAGTCCTTGCTGGTAAGTGCCTAAGAGGAGTATGTTCAGTCATTCTAGGGTACATAAAATTGTCACCATTACTGATCAGTCTCTTCGATTACAGTGTGCCTTCGCATTCAAGTGAACAAAGAAAACAAGGAATTCAAGGTAAGTTTTATTTCTAACTGTACTGCATTAGTCACTGAGAGGCTTAGGAATGAATATAAAGTGGTCTTGCTTTGAGTCCAGTTTCAAATGATTTTTTGGGTTACATTTGAGAGGTCAATCGGACAGGGAATTGAACCTTGGTCCTCCTAATCCTACAGGAGTAACAAGTAAACTGCTGGGCAAAGCTTGGGTTGTCTTCATCTGTACACATTTAATTCTCATCTTAATGTTGGTTATACTTAAATGGTTTAGGTGATACATTTTTCCATTAATTGCAGGATTTAGCACCAGAGAGGGCTTTTGCAGATTTTGTTCTGTGCAACTTGGTGCTCCATTTGGTGATTATGAATTTCCTCGGATAAATTTGTGTCCCTACATTTGATACTTGATAGACTACTTCTTGGTAAACAGTGTTTAATCGCGGTTATTTCTATGCAACTGTCAAGGATTTCAGTGATTTATCTGCCATTGGAAGAACTTAGCCTGGCAGTATGTGTTAGATTGAGAAATTGCTTAGACAAGTTTTTCGGTAAAAAACCAGGATACCTTGTGGTTTTCAACTAGAATTAAAGTTAGATCCTTGCAGGATATCTAGACGCGTGACAATTAGCATAATTATTATGTGTTTTACGCTAATATTTTTCTTTTACACAAACCTAATGTCATTTTTGGCTTCTTCCTTCTTCTTTTTTTTTTTTAATATTTTGGCCGAAACATTTTCAGCTTCCTCCATGTCCTCTCATTATTCCGTGGTACTTTGAAACGGTATTTTATTTAGCTGTATCAAAAGGGCCGTGACTATGAACTATTTATGATCCGTAGCAAATTAGCAGTAATGCATACTTGTTGGGGGGCTTGTTATTTTAATTTGGTCCAATGAACCAAAATTGGCTAAAAAAAAAAGAAAAAAAAGAATCTTTTGAACCAAAATTTACCTAACTTCGGGCTCCATATACTATTGCAGGTCCTATAATTGTTCTTTTCTTTTGCACCACACTGATTCTTTTTCTTAATATTCGGAATGTATTGACTTTGACCTAGACGGATTGAATATTCAACTCCAATAATATTTGCATTTCTCCATTTTCTTATACTTATCTCTTTAGTTATGTTGGATTAAGGACATGCATGTTCGGTGCGAGCTTCTTTGATTGAACATGACTATATAACGAATTCAACCTTAATAATTTAAAATAAATAAATAAATAAAACGCAAAATGCAATACAAAAACGGAAAAAAAGAAAAGAAAAAGAAAAAAAGATGAGGTGCTCAACTGCTAGGATGAAAACATAAAGAAAAGAAAATTTAAAGGTCCAAACTCTAAATTCCTACAAGGCAACGCCCCACTTCTTAAATTATCTCATCTGTTGGACGGTTCATAAATACAAGAGGAAAGATAGGGAGGACTAAATTTGAGATTAAAGATGTAGATCATGTTATTAAATTAATAAATTTATAATATTATATATATATATTTTTAAATAAATTATTAAATAATATAAATTTTATATTTTAATATTTTAAATAATATAATTTATATTACACTATCAGAATTAAATTCTAATTTTAAATTTTTTTATCACATTTATTGCTATCT